ATCTTTTTGGTCACGCCTGCTATGTATGGCAACGTGATAGTTTTGATAGGAGTTTCAAGTGGCTGTCCTGTATGGTGGGAGAAACAGCTTGGCGGATGGTGCGGTCAGAGTATCCGTTCATCTTGAGGGCCCGATGTACATGTCTTTATTCACCGGCCAGGTGGTATTGGTCAGAAATGCCATGAGCTCTGTGGTATAGTGTTTTGATGAGAGAATTCTTTTGAGACGGGTGGTGGTGGGAATCAGGTTTCAAGTAGGAATCTGTGTGGGTGGCTTTCCTGTATACAGAATGTCCCAAGGATCCATCAGGTCTCCTCTCAAACAGAATATCTAAGAACGGTAGTTTGCCATCTTTCTCCACTTCCATGGTGAATCTGATGGATGGGTTGTTTCTCTTGCTGCTGCTGCTGCTGCAGTGCCCCTGATGTTGGCCGCGTGGCTGGGGGCCGTCTGCTCGCTGCTCCTCCTGGACGGGCCCCGGGCCTTGGGCCTCCCGGTCTCGGTGGCCGCGGGGGGGCCTGGCCCTGGGAGGCCTCGCTGCCTTCACGTTGTGGCGTCTCGCCAGCATGGGGGGGGGGGGGGGGCTCGGACGAGGAGGAGGGCCCCGCCGAGAGGGAGCGACTCATGGAGGACGACATCGAGACCGAGTTCGACTGAGGAGGGGTCGAGGGGTGGGGGGGTTTGTGAAACCGGTAACGGCTTACTCTTTGGTTCTTCGGTAAAGTCACGTAGGTAGAAAATAAAATAAAATAAATTTGTGGGTAGAAAATAAAAAAAATACATTTGTAGGTAGAAAATTAAACAAAATAAATTTGTAGGTAGAAAATAAAACAAAATTAAACAAAATAAATGTGTAGGTAGAAAATAAAATAAATACATTTGTTTTATTATGAAATTTTTTTTATATTAAACAAAATATTTTCTACCCACGTGACTTTACCGAAAGAATCAAAGAGTATGGATCTCTGCAGTCACAGAAACTTCAAATCGAGATCGGTAACCGCTTCCAAACATCGGTTTTTGGCTCAGGATCGGTTACTGGCTATTTCAATGTATGTAATAATATCGATATACTGGAGCATGGTAAAAATAATAATAGGTAAAATTGTGAAGTGCTTCGGGGTCACTGAGGGTGGACTGAGGGGTGACTAAGGTGGACTGAGGGTGGACTAAGGGGTGACTGAGAGATGATTAGCTGGACTGAAGGGTAGATTGAGGTGGGCTGAGAGATGGTCTGAGGGGTGACCGAGATTGACTGAGGGTGGATTGAGGTGGACTGAGGGTGGATGGAGGTGGACTGAGGGTGGTTTGAGATGGACTGAGGGTGGATGTTGGTGGACTGAGGGTGGTTTGAGATGGACTGAGGGTGGATGGAGGTGGACTGAGGGTGGATTGAGGTGGTCTGAGGGGTGACTGATGGACCGAGGCGGTACCTCACAGGACGATGGCGCTGGTCTCAGAGACTCGAGGAGTCAGCGGCGACTCTTGACTCAAGTCGACCCTGAGTCGACCCCACACCCCCCCTGCATCTCGCCCTACACACCCCACACACTCACCCGTCATGAGCGTGGGGGGAGTGTGGGTGTATCATGGTTCTGTGTCGTGCCAGACCTATGTCTGAGGGTCCTCGTCCATAAACATGTGGGAAGTTGGCCGGGAATGGTTCAAGGGGAGCACAAATCTGCTGCTGAGAGGCTCAATGTCGAAAGTGGTCCGAAGTTTGACTGAAGCGATGCAAATTTCGATTTAAAGCTTTCGTGACTGCAGGGATTCATCTTCTTGGTTCTTTCGGTAAAGTCACCTAGGAGGGAAGTAATAAAATAATAAAAATAAAACATAATAAAATAATTCTCACGACGTTTCGGCTACAACAACCTGAAGACGGCTGCTTGCGTTGTAGCCGAAACGTCGTGAGAATTATTTTATGTTTTATTTTTATTATTTTCTTACTTCCCTTCTACGTGACTTTACCGAAAGAACCAAGAAGATGAAGCGATGCACTCGCAGGAGGCTGACGGGACGCGTCTAAAATGTCGCTATTTGGTATGAGGAGGGGCAGGTGTGTGGTGGTGGTGCCCTCTCCCGAGGGGGGCTAGTGACACACTCAGCCTCGCGCGGTCGGGGTCCGCGTGTGGAGCTCCAATTAAACAGCGGGGAGAGCGACTCCCGTGACCCCGAGTGAGTGGAGCGAGTGGAGCGAGGGGGCGGGGCGAGGGGGCGGGGCGAGTGGAGCGAGGGGCGGGGCGAGTGGGGCGAGGGGCGGGGCGAGGGGGGCGAGGGGCGGGGCGAGTGGAGCGAGGGGCGGGGCGAGTGGGACGAGGGGCGGGGCGAGGGGAGCGAGGGGCGGGGGCGAGGGGAGCGAGGGGCGGGGCGAGTGGAGCGAGGGGCGGGGCGAGAGGAGCGAGGGGCGGGGCGAGTGGAGCGAGGGGCGGGGCGAGTGGAGCGAGGGGCGGGGCGAGTGGAGCGAGGGGCGGGGCGAGTAGAGCGAGGGGCGGGGCGAGTGGAACGAGGGGGCGGGGCGAGTGGAACGAGGGGGCGGGCGAGGGGAGCGAGGAGGCGGGGCGAGTGGAGCGAGGGGGCGGTTGCGAGTGGAGCGGAGGGGGCGGGGCGAGTGGAGCGAGGGGGCGGGGCGAGTGGAGCGAGGGGCGGGGCGAGTGGAGCGAGGGGCGGGGCGAGTGGAGCGAGGGGCGGGGCGAGTGGAGCGAGGGGGCGGGACGAGTGGAGCGAGGGGCGGGGCGAGGGGAGCGAGGGGGCGGGGCGAGTGGAGCGAGGGGCGGGGCGAGTGGAGCGAGGGGCGGGGCGAGGGGGCGGAGCGAGTGGAGCGAGGGGCGCCGCATTTGAATTTTGGCGGGAACTGTACCCGCGTCACGTGACCCGGGACAGTGAACGCGGACGCGGAAGAGGGGGGCCGGTGGCAACAACACGGCGCGTGGTGCAGGTACAGTGCGGTGGTGGTGAGTGTGGTGGTGGTGGTGAGTGTGGTGGTGGTTAGTGCGGTTGTGGTGGTGGTGGTGAGTGTGGTGGTGGTTAGTGCGGTGGTGGTGGTGGTGAGTGCGGTGGTGGTGGTGAGTGTGGTGGTGGTCAGTGTGGTGGTGGTGGTGAGTGTGGTGGTGGTGGTGAGTGTGGTGGTGGTGGTGGTGAGTGTGGTGGTGGTGAGTGTGGTGGTGGTGGTGAGTGTGGTGGTGTCAGTGTGGTGGTGGTGGTGAGTGTGGTGGTGGTGGTGAGTGTGGTGGTGGTCAGTGTGGTGGTGATGAGTGTGGTGGTGGTGGTAGTCAGTGTGGTGGTGAGTGTGGTGGTGGTGGTCAGTGTGGTGGTGGTGGTGTCAGTGTGGTGGTGGTGGTGTCAGTGTGGTGGTGGTGGTGGTCAGTGCGGTGGTGGTGAGTGTGGTGGTGGTGGTCAGTGTGGTGGTGGTGTCAGTGTGGTGGTGGTGGTGGTGGTTAGTGTGGTGGTGAGTATGGTGGTGGTGGTGAGTGTGGTGGTGTGAGTGTGGTGGTGTGGTGAGTGTGGTGGTGGTGGTGGTGAGTGTGGTGGTGGTGAGTGCGGTGGTGGTGGTGAGTGTGGTGGTGGTGGTGGTGAGTGTGGTGGGGGTGGTGGGTGGTGAGGTGGTGGTGGTGAGTGTGGTGGTGGTGAGTGTGGTGGTAGTGAGTGTGGTGGTGGTGAGTGTGGTGGTGGTGGTGGTGGTGGTGAGTGTGGTGGTGGTGAGTGTGGTGGTGGTGGTGAGTGTGGTGGTGGTGAGTGTGGTGGTGGTGGTGAGTGGTGGTGTCAGTGTGGTGATGGTGAGTGTGGTGGTGTCAGTGTGGTGGTGGTGGTGAGTGTGGTGGTGGTGGTGGTGGTGAGTGTGGTGGTGGTGAGTGGTGGTGGTGGTGGTGGTGGTGAGTTTGGTGGTGGTGAGTGCGGTGGTGGTGGTGAGTTTGGTGGTGAGGTGGTGAGTGTGGTGGTGGTGGTGAGTGTAGTGGTGGTGAGTGTGGTGGGTGGTGAGTGTGGTGGTGGTGGTCAGTGTGGTGGTGGTCAGTGTGGTGGTGGTGGTGGTCAGTGTGGTGGTGGTCAGTGTGGTGGTGGTGGTGGTCAGTGTGGTGGTGGTGAGTGTGGTGGTGGTGGTGAGTGGTGGTGGTCAGTGTGGTGTGGTCAGTGTGGTGGTGGTCAGTGTGGTGGTGGTGGTCAGTGTGGTGGTGGTCAGTGTGGTGGTGGTCAGTGTGGTGGTGGTCAGTGTGGTGGTGGTCAGTGTGGTGGTGGTGGTGGTGGTCAGTGTGGTGGTGAGTGTGGTGGTGGTGGTGAGTGTGGTGGTGGTGGTCAGTGTGGTGGTGGTCAGTGTGGTGGTGGTGGTCAGTGTGGTGGTGGTGGTGGTTAGTGTGGTGGTGAGCGTGGTGGTGGTGGTGGTGGTGTCAGTGTGGTGGTGGTGGTGGTCAGTGTGGTGGTGGTGGTGGTTAGTGTGGTGGTAAGTGTGGTGTCAGTGTGGTGGTGGTGGTGGTTAGTGTGGTGGTGGTGTCAGTGTGGTGGTGGTGGTGGTTAGTGTGGTGGTGAGCGTGGTGTCAGTGTGGTGGTTGTGTTGTTGTGTGTAGGTGGTTGTGACATGGTGGTTGTGTTGTTGTGTGTAGGTGGTTGTTGTGTTCTGGTTGTGACATGGTAGTTGTGTCGAGGTGGTTGTCACGTGGTGATTGTTGTTGTGTGTAGGTGGTTGTGTTGTTGTGTGTAGGTGGTTGTGGCATGGTGGTTGTGTTATTGTTGTGTGTAGGTGGTTGTCACGTGGTGATTGTGTTGTTGTGTGTAGGTGGTTGTGACATGGTGGTTGTGTTGTTGTTGTGTGTAGGTGGTTGTGTTGTTGTTGTGTTGTAGTGTTGTTGTGTGTAGGTGGTTGTGACATGGTGGTTGGGTTGTTGTTGTTGTGTTGTTGTGTGTAGGTGGTTGTGTTGTTGTGTTGTTGTTGTTGTTGTGTGTAGGTGGTTGTGTTGTTGTGTTGTTGTGTGTAGGTGGTTGTGTTGTTGTGTGTAGGTGGTTGTGACATGGTGGTTGTGTTGTTGTTGTTGTGTGTAGGTGGTTGTGTTGTTGTTGTTGTTGTGTGTAGGTGGTTGTGTTGTTGTGTGTAGGTGGTTGTGTTGTTGTGTGTAGGTGGTTGTGACATGGTGGTTGTGTTGTTGTTGTTGTGTGTAGGTGGTTGTTGTTGTGTTGTTGTTGTGTTGTTGTGTGTAGGTGGTTGTGTTGTTGTTGTGTGTAGGTGGTTGTGTTGTTGTGTGTAGGTGGTTGTGACATGGTGGTTGTGTTGTTGTTGTTGTGTGTAGGTGGTTGTTGTTGTGTTGTTGTTGTGTTGTTGTGTGTAGGTGGTTGTGTTGTTGTTGTGTGTAGGTGGTTGTGTTGTTGTTGTTGTGTTGTGTATAGGTGGTTGTGTTGTTGTGTTGTGTGTAGGTGGTTGTGACATGGTGGTTGTGTTGTTGTTGTTGTGTGTAGGTGGTTGTGGCATGGTGGTTGTGTTGTTGTGTGTAGGTGGTTGTGGGGGTGCAGGTGGATGTCGGCAGGGCCCCCCCCGAGTCTCGTGCTCTTCTCGCACTGCGGCCCCCGCGTGGTGGTGGGGGCGCGGGTCCCCCCGCTGTGTCCGCTCTGCGGGGCTTCCCTCGGGGGGGCCCCCCTCCCCGAGCCCCCCGTGAGCCTCCGAGCCCCCCTCTCCAGCGCCCACAGCTCCCCACATCAGCTGGCCGTGCGGCCCACGCGGGGGGCCTTCCTCACGTGAGCCACGGGGGCGGAGAGGGGGGGGGGGTGATGTTTATGATGATGACATTTCGATTTAGAGCTTTCGTGACTGCAGGTTGCTATGGGTGCGTACAAAAGGAATTTGTGATTGGTGAGCAATATTCTTGGTTCTTTCGGTAAAGTCACGTAGAAGGGAATTAATAAAATAATAAAAATACAACATAATAAAATATGTTATTATGTTGAGTGGAAATAATTAAATAATAAAAATACAACATAATAAAATATTTTATTATGTTGCGTGGAAATAATAAAATAAAAAATCTACATAAAATATTTTATTATATTGAGTGGAAATAATAAAATAAAAAATACAACATAATTAAATATTTTAATGTTTTACTTTTATTATTTCCCTTCTACGTGACTTTACCGAAAGAACCAAGAAGATGATGCCATTGTTGTTGGTGGTGGTGATGATGATGTTGATGGCGATGTTGATGTTGTTCGCAGTGACTACCATGAAGGAGTGGACCTGCACGTTGGCATCAGCGACTCCCAAGGTGCGACGGGTGATGAGTGGTGGTTGAAATTAATGATTGTCATGGTGGTGTTGATTGGTGGTGGTGTTGAGTGATGGTGGTGTTGAGTGATGGTGGTGATGAGTGATGGTGAGTGATGATGGTATTGAGTGGTGATGAGTGATGATGGTATTGAGTGGTGATGAGTGATGGTGGTGTTGAGTGATGGTGGTGATGAGTGATGGTGGTGTTGAGTGGTGGTGGTGATGAGTGGTGGTGGTGATGAGTGATGGTGGTGTTGAGTGATGGTGGTGATGAGTGGTGGTGGTGATGAGTGATGGTGGTGATGAGTTGTGGTGGTGATGAGTGATGGTGGTGATGAGTGATGGTGGTGATGAGTGATGGTGGTGATGAGTTGTGGTGGTGTTGAGTGATGGTGGTGATGAGTTGTGGTGGTGATGGTGATGGTGGTGATGAGTGGTGGTGGTGATGAGTGATGGTGGTGATGAGTGATGGTGGTGATGAGTGGTGGTGGTGATGAGTGGTGGTGGTGATGAGTGGTGGTGGTGATGAGTGATGGTGGTGATGAGTGATGGTGGTGATGAGTTGTGGTGGTGATGGTGATGGTGGTGATGAGTGATGGTGGTGATGAGTGATGGTGGTGATGAGTGGTGGTGGTGATGAGTGGTGGTGGTGATGAGTGATGGTGGTGATGAGTGGTGGTGGTGATGAGTGATGGTGGTGATGAGTGATGGTGGTGATGAGTTGTGGTGGTGATGGTGATGGTGGTGATGATGATGGTGGTGATGAGTGATGGTGGTGATGAGTGGTGGTGGTGATGAGTGATGGTGGTGATGAGTGATGGTGGTGATGAGTTGTGGTGGTGATGGTGATGGTGGTGATGAGTGATGGTGGTGATGAGTGATGGTGGTGATGAGTTGTGGTGGTGATGAGTGGTGGTGGTGATGAGTGATGGTGGTGATGAGTGATGGTGGTGATGAGTGGTGGTGGTGATGAGTGGTGGTGGTGATGAGTGGTTGTGGTGTTGAGTGATGGTGGTGATGAGTGGTGGTGGTGATGAGTGGTGGTGGTGATGAGTGGTGGTGGTGATGAGTGGTGGTGGTGATGAGTGGTGGTGGTGATGAGTGGTGGTGGTGATGAGTGGTGGTGGTGTTGAGTGATGGTGGTGATGAGTGGTGGTGGTGATGAGTGGTGGTGGTGATGAGTGGTGGTGGTGATGAGTGGTGGTGGTGATGAGTGGTGGTGGTGTTGAGTGGTGGTGGTGTTGAGTGGTGGTGGTGATGAGTGATGGTGGTGATGAGTGATGGTGGTGATGAGTTGTGGTGGTGATGGTGATGGTGGTGTTGAGTGACGGTGGTGTTGAGTGGTGGTGGTGGTGGCCTCATCAATGTTTTGCTGCTATAAATTTGCACGCGATAATCCCACTTCGTTGAGCTATTATTTGTGGCCAGAACAAGAAGTGGGCTTTACCTGGTAAGATAAACAAAAAATGTTTAGTTTCATTCACTTTTAGTAAGGATGTTTACCTTTCCGAAACTTTGCACTCGGATCGCGTCTTTGTCGCGTTTGCTGTCGGAGCGCTCTGACCCCGTGGCCCTCCTCCTGGTGGACACCTGTGAATCAAGAGCTTCATCGCTCACCGGATTCCTCCCGCACTTTTGACGATGTTGCGATGGCGGCGGCGTTGTCGTTGATGTCGTTCCCAGGTGGGGTGTATCACTTCTGGGAGGGGGGCGTCTCTCGCGACGCCTGTGGATGGGGGTCCTGCGTCTGTGTGCCCCTGCGAGATTGCATCGCACCCCAGGGGTCAGGGGAGCCCTGGGGGGCTTGGGGGTGGGGGCTTGGGGGGGGCTGGGGGGCCGGTAACCCGCTCTGGGACTCGCATTTGGAGGCCATGGCCCAGAGCGCGGAGTGGAGCAGCGAGAGGTAGACACACACAAGATGCGTGTGTGTCTGTGTGTGTGTCTGTGTGTGTGTGTCTGTGTGTGCCTGTGTGTGTGTGCACACGTGCTCCTCGCTCACAGCAATTTCCCCAACAGTCTGAAAGGCTTCACACGGGTGGGGGGGTCTTTGTCTTTGTGGCGAGCAGCTATGAAGAGCTCGGCCACAACTGCTTCGACTTTGCCCTCGCGTTCCTCGCTCTCGTGCAGCAGCGGCTGGCACTGCCCGCGTGGGGCAGCCCTACGGAGGAGCCCCCCATGGAGGAGCCCCCCGCGGGACGCACACAACCAACACCGCGAGAGGGGTGGGGAGAGGAGGAGAGTGGAGGGAGGGGGGCAAGGAGGAGGAGGAGCGAGGAGGGAGCGAGTGACTCGGCGAGTGTGTCGGTGAATGACGCGGCGAGTGACGCAGTGAATAACACAGCGAGTGGCTCTCCGAGTAACTCTGTGAGTGTTTCGGCGAGTGACTCCCCTGCGAGCGTTTCGGGGAGGGAGCGAGCCAGGCTGCGGCTGGTGGAGCGTGTGCTCGTCCCGGCGACGCGCCGCGTCTCCCGCTACCTCGCCGTGCTCGCCCACGTGCTCGCCCACGGTTACTACCTCCCCCCTGACACGTAACCCCTTGACCCAACCTCCATCCCCCCCCCCCCATCGTCTCCTGTCTCTCTCCCTCTCTCGCTCTGCACGCGGCGCAAAGCCCAGCACTCCCGTCTTGTGTCAGACTTGTTCCCCATCTCGCGCGATTTTGCAGGTGAAATGTGAAATTTTGTGAAAATAAAACCGCTAATAAGAATGATTACGACGATGACGATCACGACGATGATGATGATCACCACTGATGATCACCACTGATGATCACAACGACAGTAAGAATGATGATGATCATGAAGATGATGGTGAGAATGATGACGCGTTGGCGAGGTCACTGGGCTGAGCGCTCTTTAATCAGACAGCTGCTGTACACCGACGAGGAGAGGGCCACAAAAACCCCCACACAGCCAGCCCCCCCCCCCCAAAACTATCCACAGAGTAGGGGGGGGGCGGATGGCGAGCTTGTGGAGGGGGTTGCTGCCTCTGCCCCCCCCCCCCCAACTGTCGCAGCGCAACAATTTGTTAAATAATTGGGTGGGTGTGGATTGCTATCGGTGCGTACAAAAAGAATTGCGATTGGTGAGCAATATTCTTGGTTCTTTCGGTAAAGTCATCGCGTAGAAGGGAAATAATAAAATAATAAAAATATAAAACAATAAAAATTATCACCACGTTTCGACTGCAACACAAGTAGCAATCGTCATCAGGTGTGAAATCCACAGCAAGAAAATTTGAAAAAAAAGTGGCGGTTTTTTTTAACGTCAGCACCACGGACAGCGATTTGGCAGTTGGCCAGATGGGCGAATCCATCTATGTTCGGAAAAGAGGAGGGGGGAGATCAATAGAATGAAATGGAGTCTGAAAGTCACCGCAAGCGTGAACACAATCAATTAAGACCCGAAATGGTTTATCAAATCCTTCCAATGATTGCTAAGCCAGAATCCATCTTCTCGGTTGAAATTGTCTCTGTTTGTATATGTGGATAGCCTCATGAACAAATCTCTCATGGTAGCCAGATGGCTTGCAGAGAACCTCTGTCTTGGAGAAGTCAATGTCATTTGAGCCCACTGAATTGTAACAGTGATCTGCCACGGCCGAGGTGTTGGTCCTACCGTGTTTCAGGTCTGCTTTATGTTCACGGATGCAGTCCGAGACATGTCGTTTGGTTTCTCCAATGTAACTGCTACCACAGAGGCAACTCAGTTTGTAGACGCCAGGGTACTGTATGTCTGGAACCACATCTTTTACAGACAAGACCAGGTCACGGATTTTATGTAATGCGTTGAATCGGACCTGGATCTTGTGTTTATTCAAGATTTTGTAAATCTATATTGTGAACCCCGCAATGTAGGGTAAGGTGATGGTTTTGAATGGCTCCTCAAGAGGGTCCTTCTTCATGGTTGGAGTGATGGCTTTGCGGATTGTGTAGTCGGAGTAACCATTAGCCTTAAGAGCTTGGCGTACGTGCTTGAGTTCACTGGCAATGTGTTCCTGGTCGGAGATGCATTGGGCTCTATGGTGCATGAGGGAATTCTTCTGGGATGGATGGTGGTGGGAATCCGGTTTCAGGTAAGCATCCGTATGGGTGGCTTTCCTGTAGACAGAGTGGCCCCATTCCTCCCCCCCCCAGCAGCAGTGTGAATGAATGGCTTCATCGCAGGTCCACGGTATTTGGTCTACTCTTCCCCTCCGTCCTAGCGGGTCTCGGTATAAAGAGGCGGGGAGTTAGCCAGATACTTGATCCCACCGTACAATGGCCGCATGGTGGGATAAAACGTGGGTATAACTCCATGCCTCTTTAACCGAGACGCGCTGGCCAGAGTGGAAGAGTAGACCAAACACCGCTACTCCAGAGGAGCTGTAGAGAGCGGCCTCGAGTGGAGACCTGTCTGATGGCGGTGCGAGTGCGCACGACTGCGCCTCGCGATCGCTAATTGCGCCCTTCCCTTAGAACAATACAAAATGTTCACGCTAGCACACCGCATCCAGTATACAGACTCTCGCTACAGCTGCGGCTACTACTACTACTCGTCGCGTGCTACCCAATCACGTCTCGCATCGACCCCCCCCCCTCCCTCCCCTAGCGGCTCGGCACTTCACAGCCGCGTCACCGGGTTCACGATGGCACGGCCCCCCAACCCCATAGACTCGCACGTCCGACTCGCTTCTGCGCCGAGTTTCGCAAAAAATCCTCACCTCTTAAGAATTAAAACACCGTCACGCGACGAGCACTAATCCCTTCAGGTATGGCAGGGAGCGTGGGTCGGGTCGCTTGCCGCTCTCTGCTGTGCGTGGAGCAGAAGTCGCTTGAAGAAGAAGAAGCGGTCTCTGAGGCAGCTCTCCGATATCCACTTCCACGGGTCACGTCCTCGGACAGCTCTGAGGAGCTGCACCACCGCCGCTGTCCGTGAGAGATTTCCTAATGGATTCCTCGCTCCGTGATGCCCCCCCCCCCCCGCACCACCGGGCTCCTCAGCTGGGCTAGGAGCCCCCCCCCCCCGCACCACCGGGCTCCCCAGCTGGGCTTAGGAGCCCCCCCCCGCACCACCAGGCTCCCCAGCTGGGCTAGGAGCCCCCCCCCCACACCACCGGGCTCCCCAGCTGGGCTAGGAGCCTCCCCCGCACCACCGGGCTCCCCGGCTGGGCTAGGAGCCCCCCCCCCCCCCGCACCACCGGGCTCCCCAGCTGGGCTAGGAGCCCTGCACCACCGGGCTTCCCGGCTGGGCTAGGAGCCCCCCCCCCGGTACCACCGGGCTCCCCAGCTGGGCTAGGAGCCCCCCCCCCACACCACCGGGCTCCCCAGCTGGGCTAGGAGCCTCCCCCGCACCACCGGGCTCCCCGGCTGGGCTAGGAGCCCCCCCCCCGCACCACCGGGCTCCCCAGCTGGGCTAGGAGCCCTGCACCACCGGGCTTCCCGGCTGGGCTAGGAGCCCCCCCCCGTACCACCAGGCTCCCCAGCTGGGGAGCCCCCCCCCCACACCACCGGGCTCCCCAGCTGGGCTAGGAGCCTCCCCCGCACCACCGGGCTCCCCGGCTGGGCTAGGAGCCCCCCCCCCCCCGCACCACCGGGCTCCCCAGCTGGGCTAGGAGCCCTGCACCACCGGGCTTCCCGGCTGGGCTAGGAGCCCCCCCCCATACCACCGGGCTCCCCAGCTGGGCTAGGAGCCCCCCCCTCGCGCCGCGGGGGGCTGTGCGCAGGCCTCGAGGCGCAGGCGGAGGGCTCCGTGTGCGTGCAGCGAGCGCAGCAGCTGGAACTCGAGGGGCAGCTGGTGGGACTCCTGCCAGCGCGTGCTGAACTTGGCCCCCGGGGCGTCGTAGTAGTGGTAGGGGATGGGGCTGCCCGTGCGGGGGTCCCACGCGAAGGGCCAGAAGCCGTAGAGGTCGGTGCGGTCGCACAGCGAGGCGCACAGCGACGCCATCAGCAGCCCCGTGCTCAGCCGCTTGGGGGACAGGCCCTTGGTGCGCCAGAACCTGGGACACGTGGGGAGAGACGTGGGGTGACGTGGGGAGAGACGTGGGGTGACGTCGGGTGACGCAGAATGTGACACGGGGAGACGCGGAAAGGCACGTGGGGACAGACCCTTGGTGCGCTAGAATCTGGGAGACGCGTAGACAAGGGGAGACACATGGGGGGACACGGGGGGGGGGGGGGGGCACGTGGAGACAGACCCTTGGGGTGCCAGAACCTGGAAGATGCGGAGACACGGGGGGGGGGGGCACATGGGTAGACACACGGGGAGACATGGGGGGGGGGGGGCACAGGGAGACAGGCCCTTGGGGCGCCAGAACCTGTTGGTAGCGATGTTGATGTTGGTGATGTTGATGGTGGAAGTGACGGTGGTGATGGCTGATGGCCAGTTATCTCAGTCGACCCGTGGCACCTGCTGGGTCTGCCCCGTGACCTCTCCTGCCAGCGGGCGTTCGACACTTCACGTGGCCTCAAAGCGCACGTAGCCTGGCAACTAGCGCCTTGGTGACGTCACCGCCACTTAGTGGTGAATGGCGGTTGTTGTTGATGGTTGTTGATGGGACCGTACCGGGTGATGTTGGTGACGATGTCGCCAGGCCAGGCGAGTCGAACCCGAATGACGTCAGAGTTGCTGTGGTTGTGCCCACCGTCCGCACCGTCGTCGCCCTGCTGCTGCTGCTGCTGCTCCCCGTCGTTCACGCGCATCTCGCTGTGGCCTGAGTCACACCAGAGAACGTGACTCAACAACAACAACCAGTACAAGCACAACATCGCCACCACCAACACAACAACCACCGATACAGCCGCAACATTGCCACCACCGACACAACAACTACCACAACAACCACTACCAACACAACAACTACAAGCACAACAACCACCACCACCAACAAGCGATACTATCACGACCACCAACACAAGTACAACTAATTCCAATCTACGTGTAGCGAGTGAGTGTGTGGGTGGCGAGTGTGTGGGTGGTGAGTGCGCGGGCGACGTGGTGAGTGAGTGCATGACGGGTGAGTGCGTGGTGATTGAGTGATGTGGTGAGTGCGGAGTGAGTGACGTGGTGATTGAGTGATGTGGTGAGTGCGGAGTGAGTGATGTGGTGAGTGCCGTGTGAGTGAGTGAGTGACGTGGTGAGTGAGTGACGTGGTGAGTGAGTGACGTGGTGAGTGAGTGACGTGGTGAGTGAGTGCCGTGGTGAGTGCGTGACTTGGTGAGTGAGTGACT